AAAAAAAAAAAGGTCACTCAGGTATGCCACATATGACAAGACAAAAATGTCACACATGAAATGAGCACCTTGTGTGGCTGGATGGCATTCAAAACTGGCAGTTATTTGAATTTCACCACATTCAGACTTCATATTTTCTTTCTGAAAATGTGTGTGTTAGAGGATGTTACACAAGGCCCTCAAGACGACAGGCTTATAATCCCAGGCAGGCTCCGCCCCGCCAAGGCTCCGCCCATGGCTCCAGCCTCCGCCCCTGCAGGCCCCCTCAGAACCTAATAGCCGCGCCTCCAGGGCGGTAATAATGCATCAAAGCCTTTAGGGTATGGCTGTAAATCCTGCCATGCCAATTAGGCTGCACGGAAAACAGTGGTGAGTTTGAACCAACAGCTTTCCCACATTGTTCCCCAATAAAACCTAAGAGTCAGCCCCGTTCACCCAGGGCTGAGCGCTTCCTCCGCCTTGGTTTCCCCCGGGCTCTGCTGTTCCGGCTTTTGCTGAGCATTAAAGCTGAGCCCCGGGGTCTGAAGGTAAGCAGCATTCCCACGTGCGCATCTTACCCTGAGGATTCCAAACTAATTTCTAAAACCTTCCCTTAGTGGACAGAGGGGAGCCTGAAGGGTGGGTTTCTTTCATGGGGATCGCAGCCCCTCCTTCCTGACCCTGAAAGTGACTGACAGCCCCGGAGCCTCCACAGCCTCCACTGCCTCATCCGGAAGCCTTCAGTTACCACGAAGACAAACGAAAGCATGAGTGCGTGTCTAGGAAGCTGCTTCTGGTCTGAGCGCGTGGACGCTCACGAGAGGCCGGTGAACCACGCACCGCTGCCAAGAAGCACGGTGTGGGTTTGGTGCTGGGCAGCGGGAGCGCCCAGGCCCGACAACAGCTTCGGTCCAGGCCACGGGCCTCCTGCAAACCAGGCCCACACACCTGCTGTCCACGCACTCAGGGGACACGCAAACGCCCCCAGGCCAGCACAGGCCTGCTCCTGCTCTCACCGTGTTACCCCAAAACTCTGAACCCTAATGCGTTGCCAAGTTGTCTTTATGCACACGAAAGTTTGTGCTCGGCTTTATCTAGCAAACACAAAGCCACAGGGAAAAAACATACCGGGAGTACCCGCAAGCCCCGGGAACAACGCGTCCCCACCTGAGCGCCTATTTTGTACTCTGTACACGTCCGCACCACCTCATACAACCTAAAATAGTCACCTCGTGCAGCCCAAACCACGCCGAGGCGTTGCATGACACCAAAACTGAACCCGAGTGTCCCTGGTCAGCGGGGGAGACAAACTGAGCTGGAACCTGCCCACTTCCCGATCCTTGGAGCATAAACTCCCCTGCAAGACCAGTCAGAAAATGGACTTTTCCCTTCTTCCAGGCCTCCCATGGCGAACTGTATGCTGTTAACTTATCGTTTAAACAACTCATCTAGATGTGCACGTGGCCTATACAGCTGAGCCCTTCTCCAGGGTATTTTGGTCTCATAAATAAGGTGCTGGGTCACATCCAGGACGGGGAGCAAACAGGCCCCTCACAGAGCCACCCTGGGTGCATTCGCCGTGTCTCCCCATTCCCACGCCCTCTGCTGTCCCCAACCCTAGCACTGCAGGCCGCCCAGGCATGCAGGGGTCAGCAGGGTGGGGGGCCCACTCTTCCCTGCCCAGCCTTCAGGGCTGAGCTGCGCCCTCCTTGCTTGGTGTTGCCCCGGGCTCGGACCGCAGCCTGGGTTCTCACACCAGCTCCACCACCAAGTAGGGCGGGCTCTGAAACAGCTCCCATTAAATTACAAGCCTGGTCCAAGAGCAGGAGCCAAGATCAAACATGGCCCTGCCTTTCAAAGAGCTGCCTCAGAGATAGCACACAGGAGCCGACTGCTGTTATTATCTGCGGGAGACAGAAACACCAGACTCGGGGAAGAGCAGGCGTATTACAGGGTGACTCAGGAACTAGAAGGTAATTTCCAAGGGTCCCACCCGGGAACTAATTGGCACATGGAGCGGGCAGTGACCTTTGATCCTTCCAGACAGCCGTGCGTGTGGCAAGCTGACCCAAAAGGATCACCACGTAAACCAGACGACCCAGATAACCCTGAAGCCAGGCTGTAATTGTGCGACTCCGGACAAGACTTGGGAAGCCCTGCCCTTGAACTTGAAGCAGCCCGGGCCTGCTCCCTGCAAAAGTGCTGAGCAGGCCGGGTGGGGAGCACACCCCCGGCATCCAACAGAGGCAGCAGATGCCTGGGCCCTGCCCGGATGTGCCCTGGCACGCCCACCTGGCCGGGCCCTTGGCGGGGCCCTAAGGCTCTCCCAGGGGCCCACAGGGAGCCACTCCTTCCCCCCAGGCCACTCACCAGACACAGACACCTCCATGAGCGCCTCCAGCGGCCGGTTGTTGTCCAGGTCCCGGCTCAGCTGCAGCTCGCCTGTGGCCGAGTCCAGCAGCAGCAGATGCAGCTCGTTGCCCCGCAGGAAGGTGTAGTTGAGGCTGTCCGAGAGGTCGGGGTCGTGGGCCGGGATGCGCCCGATCACGCCGCTCGGGAAGCTGTTGGACTTGTTGGTGACATAGTTGTTGAAGAGAATCTGAAAGTCCGGCAGCTCGGGCGGGTTGTCATTCTGGTCCAGCAGGTGGATGCGCACGGTGGCCCGGCTCACCAGCGGCGCCGATGTCGCCTGGACCACCAGCATATAGTCCCTGCGCACCTCAAAGTCCAGCTCGGCCAGGGCGCGAAGGTCCCCGCTCAGCAGGTCCAGCTGGAAGACCTCGGGCACATTGCCCTCCACTATCTGATACATGATCTGGGCGTTGGGGCCCTCGTCAGGGTCGTTGGCACGAATCTTCGCCACCACTGACCCCACCGGGCTGTTCTCTTCCACAAACAACTCCAGCTCGTCCCTCTCAAACACAGGCGGGTTGTCGTTGATGTCCAAGACCATCACCTGGATCTCCACTGAGGCACTGAGGGCAGCTGGGCTGCCCCGATCCACAGCCAGCGCCCGAAGGTTGTACACGGCCACGTTCTCCCGGTCTAGCCGGCGCTGGGTGCGGATCACGCCAGAAGTGGGTTCAATGTAGAAGTCCCCATCACCATCGTCCCCACCCTGGAAGGTGTACAGCAGACGGCCATTGGGGCCCGAGTCCCTGTCTGTGGCAGAGATCTGGAGGACACTGGTGGATGGGGGAGCATCCTCAAAGACAGAACCCTGGTAGAAATCCCGCAGGAACCTGGGCACATTGTCGTTGGCATCCAGGATAAGGATCTCCAGGGAGGTGGTGTCCGATTTCTGAGGGATGCCATTGTCCCGGGCCGTGATGGCCAGCGTGTAGGCAGCCTGATCCTCGTAGTCCAGCTCTGTCATTGTGTAGATGGTGCCCGTGTCCGGGTCAATGCGGAACTGCGGCACAGGGTCCTCCAGCACGTAGGTTATCCGGGCATTCTCGCCCGTGTCCTCATCGGTGGCACTGATGGTGGCAATAGAGGTGCCCACGGGCCGGTCCTCGCTGACACTGACGGTGTAGTGAGAGCTCTGGAAGACCGGCCGGTGGGTGTTGGCATCGGTGACGTTGATAAAGACCTGCACAGTGTGTGAACGCGTGCCATCCGACGCAGTCACAGCCAGAACATACTGCCGCTCCTGCTTGTAGTCCAGGGGCAGCGCCAGCGTGATCAGGCCTCCGCCGCTCTGGCTGCTGAGTGCAAAGCGGTTCCGAGTGTTGCCCCCGGTGAGCTGGTACGTGATCACGCTGTTGGCGTCCCGGTCACGGGCCCGCAGCGTCAGCACGCTGCTCCCCACGGCTGCGTCTTCATTGAGACGCAGCTCGTACAGCGGCTGGGTGAACACCGGGTCGTTGTCATTCACGTCTAGGACCGTGATGGACACGCTGGCCGAGGAGCTCATGGGTGGTGAGCCGTGGTCCACCGCCTCCACCCCAAAGCTATAGTGTTCCACCTCCTCCCGGTCCAGCTCTGCACACACCGTGATCCAGCCCGAGCTGTTGTGGATCTGGAAGGGGAAGTCCAGGGTGGAGTCGGGGTCCTCGGGCCCAGCACCGCCACCCCCCAGGGCCGCTGAGCCCGTGTCGACCAGGCGATAGTGCAGCCGGGCGTTCTCCCCCGCGTCCGCATCCACTGCCTGGATGTGCAGCACTGAGTGTCCCAGGGGCACGTTTTCCAGCACCGTGGCCTGGAAGGGGCTGCTCACAAAGATGGGAGCATTGTCGTTCACATCCAGCACCTGCACGGACACCAGCCCGGAGGAGTTGATGAGGGGGGGCCGGCCGCCGTCCTGGGCCTTGATGCGCAGGGTGTACTCCCGGATGGCCTCGAAGTCCAGCGGGTTGATCACATCCAGGCTCCCGCTCAGGGAGTGCAGGTAGAACTGCCCCTTCAGGTTCCCGCTCACAATGCTGTAGTGTATGGCCGCGTTCTGCCCCTGGTCGCGGTCGGTGGCTTGCACTCGAAGCACGGGTGTGTTAACAGCCAGGTCCTCCGGCACCTGGACCACATAGCGTTTCTCGCTGAACTGAGGGTAGTTGTCGTTTTCGTCCTCCACCACGATGTGCACAGTGGCTGTGGCGCTGAGCGGGCCCGGGTTGCGGCCCTGGTCATTGGCCTCCACTAGCAGCTGGTACTCGGCTGCCTCCTCCCGATCTACCTCCGCCCGAGTTCGCACCACCCCTGAGCGCGCATCTATCTCAAAGACACCCCCGGCACCCTCCAGCAGGCGGTAGCGCATGTTGGCGTTGGAGGGCGCATCGCCGTCGGTGGCACGGATGGTCAGCACCTCATAGCCCACCTCGAGGTTCTCGCGCACGCGTTCACGATACTCGGACTGCTCGAAGACCGGGCTGTGGTCGTTGGTGTCGCTGACGGTGACGGTGAGGTAGGTGGCGGCTGAGCGCCGCGGCGAGCCGTGGTCCACGGCGCTGACCTTGAGCACATGCGTGTCCTTGGTCTCGCGGTCCAGCTCGCGGGCCGTGGTCACGGTGCCCGTGGCCGAGTCGATGAGGAAGTACCCATTGGAGCGCTCGTCGAATAGTGCCTCCATCTGGTAGCTCAGGCGCCCCGCCTCGCCCTCGTCCGGGTCGTGCGCGCGCAGTTCGATGACCTCGGTGCCGGCCGGCTCGTTCTCGGGCACCGACACCTGGTAGCTGGGCAGCGGGAACTGGGGGCTGGTGCTGCCACCTGCACCCCGCCTGGCCCGCCGCGACCCCCCCGATCGGGCCTTGGGCAAAATCGGCGTCGGCGACGACAGTGTCCCCAAGGGTGGGTCTAGCTCTAGCTCCCCCCGGAACGAGCCTGGCGCGCGCCGAAGGGCGCACCGCAGGCGGAGGCGAACAGGGCCTCCGGGCAGCGGGCAGAGAGGGTGGGCGCGCGGGCAGCGGCGGGTGGGGACCAAGGCGAGGGCCGCGAGCGCCAAGTGCACCGAGTCCCCTGCGCCTCCAGGAGCCGGGGAGCGGAGCGCGCCACTGATCCCGGGCCCGGATAGGCGTCGCTGTCGGGCGGCCAACCAGGGATGCAGGCTCAGCGCCGTGGGGGCGCCCCGGGCCGTCAGGAGGGCTCGCAGCCGTGGGGGCGGCAGCGGGCGCCACCCCAGGCGCGCGCAGCC